CCGTGTGCCGACACGTCACAAAATCTTAAATTCGAACCACTCGCACTCTTTTTGTTTCCTTCATCCTTAAAATGATAGACATCCACGTGTCGAAAGCAAGTACATTTATCTATGCAAAATAGACATAATATCCCCCAGCTTCGTTCCGACAACTATTTAAGAAATCACACGGTGGCTTTCCTTGATTTGGTCACTGTCGATATTGTATAGTTTACACTTACACTGGCATATATTGATTCACCCCTGTTTCGTCATCCTCCCTTGCCTGTAATATTTACACAATCATGGCTACAGTTTCTCAATTGAATAACTTTCCATGCAAGACCTTCTTAATAACTTCACAGCCCAGTAACTTCACCTCAAAACTCTCGGCTCTGCCTCCCAATTCTGCGAAACCAACTCAGAATTTGACAAAGAAGTTTCAATTTTTGACCCAGAAATCAATCCAGGCAAGACATGTTTTCCAGGTCCGTGCTTCGGATGCAGACGACGAATGGGGCCCAGACAAGGAGGAGCCGGCTGTGATAGAGAGTCCCGGAGCGGCTGTGGCAGAAGAAGAGAAGAAGCCCGACGAACTGGTGGAAATCCAGAGCATGAAGAAAGCTTTGGTGGATTCGTTTTATGGGACTGATCGTGGATTGAAAGCTAGTAGTGAGACCAGAGCTGAGATTGTTGAGCTTATAACTCAGCTCGAGGCCAAGAACCCAACTCCAGCATCCACCGAGGCGTTGCCTCTCCTCAATGGCAAGTGGATTCTCGCGTAAGTTCTTTGTCTTGCTGCTAACAAAACGTTGGTTAAGAAACATAATTATCACCTTATGGTTGATTGACTTGGGTTAATAGAATTATTTGTAGCTTAGAGTACTGCCTACTTAAGCTGTATTGACTAGTGAATATATATGAGCTGATCTTATTGAGTCGACGGTAGTAAAAAGAAGTTTTTTTCTTAGAGAATTTGGGTTATTGCAGTTGCACTATCTTATAAACACCAACACCGACTATTGTGTTGTGGCACAGGTACACATCTTTCCCGGGAATGTTTCCGTTGTTGTCAAGGGGTCAATTTCAATTAGTCAAGGTGGAGGAAATATCGCAGACCATCGATGCTGAAAATCTCACCGTGCAGAACTCTGTTCAGCTCTCTGGACCATTGGCCTCGAGTTCCATTAGCACCAATGCCAAATTCGAGGTCCGAAGCCCCAAACTTGTGCAGGTACGTTTATTTAGAGCTCTACTTTTCTTCTGCTAAACTAATTTTGAAGTTGTTCTGGACTCTGGTTGTGACTTAAAATTGCTCTTTCTTTTTTTTTCTTTTTTTTTTGTTGTTGTTGTGAATTTTGTGTGCAGATCAAGTTTCAGGAAGGCATCATTGGAACTCCCCAGGTGACAGACTCCATAGTGTTACCAGAAAATGTGGAATTTCTGGGACAAAAAATCGATCTCACTCCTCTTAAAGGCTTGCTCACCTCTGTGCAAGACACAGCTTCATCTGTTGCAAAGACAATTTCCAGCCAACCGCCATTGAAGATCCCATTGTCAAACAGCAATGCGGAATCATGGTTACTTACAACATACCTCGACGACGAACTGCGGATTTCAAGAGGGGATGCCGGGAGTGTGTTTGTGCTCATCAAGGAGGGCAGCAGTCTCTTGAACCCATGAACTTAAACTCTGTTAGATTGATGTAAGAACTATATACTTATATGGGTAAATAATACATGGTCATGGACAGTATTTGTTGTAAGACCTTATTCCAACTTGCTGTCTCAAGTAAGCGAGAGATGTAATAATATGTGAAACTTTTATATATCTATCTTCAACAGAATATTTTAGGCCTTCATTCCTTAAGAGCACCATAGCAAGCCGACGAAATTGTCGTCCTAGTTTACGATTTTCCCTTCGTCCTAGTTTACGATTTTCCCTTCGACGAAAATACCCTGTAGTGGCAAATCAGTGGACAAGCTTTATAGTTCGTTGTTATTAGTTATTAATCCTTTTGAATAAGAGATTAATTGGTACATTTTCTGGTGTAAAGAAAGTTGAATCTTGAGAAGTCTATGAAACTAATCATCGATTTCTCAGCATGTATAGATGCTGTTACATGTCAATATGCGAGGAAACTCTCAGAAGAAATGCAAATTATACATTTTGCTGGCATGGACTCGACTCAATTATCGCATGTCCTTAACTGAAGGCGTCAAAGTAGGGAAGTTATAACAAAATGCACAAGGATCATTAATCTACACGATGATGGGTGAAGAACACCTTAGACATGCATTATACATTGTTCATAATTATTCAAACTGCCAGACCATTTCTCTGAGGTAAAAAAAGAATCACGTTGCTTTTCAATGGCGTTTACAACTTAAGAATAAATCAGTGCAAACCTCATGGAAAACTTCTAGTATAATCCCATGATACTCGTCAGAATTCATCGATACGTAATAATTCAAGAGGCTGCGAAGCTCCTTGGGCTCTTGAATCCTGTTTGCCGTAATCATCTCGACCATAGACTTCCGAAAATCTTCTCTTGGATCATAAGAACACTTCTCCATGGCTACATAACAAGGAACTTAGTCCCCCCACTTCTTTGCCGCCTTCTTTCTATATTATGCCTAGTCTCCTGCCTTTCTCTGATCATTTGGTCAAGCCTCTCTTGAACCATAGCGTGTGCTAGACTTGAGATCGATGCATATCGGTCTGAACTTGTGCTTTCTGCTTCTTCTGAAGATGAGACACTAAGCCTGCAACTGCAGCACAAAGCCCTGCATCCTCTTTGTTGAAGCCTCTGGTTCTTGCGTTCTTTAGAGGCTTTCATCTTCTAGCATGGACATGAATCGCTGAGTGAGAATTTGTGCCAAAATAATAATTTATGCTCAATATGCAAAGTGGGTCACGTTAAGCATGATTGTGTCTAGAGTTCGAGACAATGAACACGTAAAAGATTAGGGGATGGTTGAAAGGCAATAGGGGAACATTTAGATTTGTTAATTGAGTTTGTATTCACCATGTGGACTTAATAAATCTTTAATACCATTATCCTTTATAGGTAGAGTTAGGTGGTGTGGTTATCAAAGGCGTTTCTTAAATGGAAAGACTTGGGTCCACCAAAGATGAAGCCTTTAATTTGGTCTTTCATTTTGCAAGTTTAGACTACTTGCTTAAGAATTTGAGTACCAACAGAACTGAAAAAAACTTTAGCAAAACATAGCAATTAAAACTATGATGATGGTATACGGGTCCAATTGTGTATTAAAAAAAGGTGTTCTTTGCTTTTTTACTTGTTCTTCGCCTAGCTACTTTGGTTGCTACTCTAAATCTTCTCTAGGTTTCAAGTGATTAGATGTACTGAATTGAACCTTTTTCTTGTTTTTAGAGCATAACATGCAGTCTTCTAATTGCCTAACGGTGGCCTAACTGAATTATGGAGAAAATCAACAAAGATTTGCTTAGCTGGATGGAATCTCTTGTGGGTTCTTCTTTATGTTGCAAAATGGGGGAGACAAGAAGATAAACAAAACAAAAAATTTACAGAAGGGGGTAAGAGTTACTATTAAATGGGAGTTTAACATGTGATAATCATTTGTGTGTATCATGAAGACTGAAATGGAGTATTCTTTTCACTGTCTTAATAAATAAATTGTCCAATTAGGTACTTACAAAGACTCCAAGTTGGTTTAACCACCCATAATGGCACATGTTGTTATGATGATCATCTGTTAGAAAAGAATTTAAAAGAAGTAATTAACCCAGGTCATCTGTCTAGGCGTAATCAAATGACAGGGTGTTCCTGACATTCTTGTGTTCTTTTGAAAATGAGAGAATCAGATAAAATAGATGAATCCATCAAAATCATGGCTTTGCAGAGTTCAGTGTTGAAGTTCACAAAAGTGAAGCAGCACGTTTTGATGTTTTGAGTTAGAAGAGCACAGCCTATCTGTAAGACATGGCGAGTTCTTTAAACTTTCCAGATTTGAGCACTAGAGGATATCTTGGGTTTCCAGATTGTCATGAGCAGCATGTTATTTAGGTGTCAATTAGCATTCCATACTGTTAGGATCAGGCTTCTGCTACTTCCATTTTATTCTGACATATTTGATTGAATTTGGGATTTGGTGGGGCAAAATTAGTGGTGATATGTGGGTTTTGATTACTATCATCATTTTATGCTTATGCATGCCATTTCCTTCCGAACACTACCAAAGCATTCTAGTTATGTTTTCTGATATTACCGTGGACCTGGCATGCACCAAGATTGCTCTGCTCTTTAAGTATGACGACCAAGTCAAGTTAAATTGAATAAGCATTTCAATTGATCAACTACCTAGCATTCTTCAACACCAGATGCATTGTTGGTTAGTGTCAATACCCGACCCTGTTGAATCGGATTATAAATTCATAATTTAAAGTTGTCGTTTTTAAACATTCAAAGATTCCGTAAGGGTCTGTCACCCTTAAATACACCTATTTGAACCTTCATCTCAACACACAAAGGAGTATTTTGCAAAATAGATACCAATTGACAGAAACCTAGGTGATATTTTTCTACAACTAAAGAGCTAACGTAAAATCTAGAGTGAAAGAAAAAGGAGACGCTAGAATTTACAAATGGTGACATCATCTATCCTATTAGACATTTTTTTTGAGAAGAGGATAACGATCCTATGATAAGTAACATCAAAACAATCATTTAACCATCTAATTTTTCGTCAAACACCTCAATAGATGAGATAGATATGATGGACAACAGTGACAATGACCAATGACAGACATCACGAGATTGAATGAGAGAAAATATCCGCCTTGAAGACGTGTGAGATACCAATCCCACATTGAAAAGAAATATGTAAATTTACCTTGAAATGCATACTTTATGGTGACAGAATGCAGCAACCCATATTCCAATTCTGAATTTTAAAAACGAAAATGTTATAAATGTTATGGGCAATTAGGCAATTAAAAGTTAATTGTCTTAACATATACTATACATAGTGAGCGCATAAAGAATACTTTCTGCCTAAAAGTATTTGAATGGAGAAAACATGAAACGCAACAAAGACCATATACAGCATTTTCTTTTCCTCCTTTTGCTGTTACAAATTAAAACACGATGGGCAAGCAATACAGAATTATGCCCGCATATTTAGGAATGTTGAAGTCTTTCCTGAAAGATCTGCCCCAGCTTCATAAGAAGACTTTGCTGCTCTTCGAACGTAAGCTTTGTCAATATCTGCATAGATATTAACACAGCTTATAAGATCATTTATTTTATGGTGATGGGTCAAGAACATACGACGCTATAAATTTACCTGGTCTAAGATCATTTCGACTGAGATACCTTGACGAACAACAAACGACTGGTGATAGATATATGCAAATACTGCCATCACCATCTACATTGAATGATCAAACAAGTCAGAGCTGCATAGATTCATTGGGACCTTTACCACTTAACAACCCTCCTAAGGACATAAATTATTAAAAGAGTTCACGATCCATCCTTCCACTAACTTTTTTTCTCTTTCCATTTGTAACAGCTATAATATCAGTATATTTGGCTTACATATAAAGACACAACATTTAGTTGAACAAAGTTACAAGGCCCCAATTTCTCACCTGACAATCCATTCTATCTGTAATTCCACCATGCCCAGGAATACTATCACCAAAATCCTGTGCCAATATCAGACGTGGGAGTTAACATAAGATACTTTGAGTCAGTATCTTAAAGAAAGATATAAAAAAAGGGGGGGGGGGGAAAGAGAATAGGGAAGGAGTTCACACCTTGATTTTAAAAGCTCTTTTAAAACCACTTGCAAAAAATCCCCCAAAAGGTGCTATAATTGATGCAAACAAGCCAAAGCATAAAGCATGCCACTGAACAGGCAAAACACAGACCTCTTTCCAAGCAAACTGCCCCAAAAAAAGTATAACAAGTGATAGAGCATTGTAGCCGAGACAATAGCATTTCGAGTTTTTAGTGAGATAACAAGCCTTTTTAACATATCCAATCCATCAGCAACCACATTCATCCACAATAAAGTCCACAGCCTTAGAATTTGGCCACAGGACTTAAAAGGATCCAAGCACTTTGAGCTGAGGTGATAATCATCGACGGGCATTGATAAAGACACTAAAGATTTTTTAAAAGGCTTGTGATCTTTAACTAGCAGGAATGGGAAATGTGGCATCTCATATGTTGAGATGGTTATTTGTTTAGTAAGATACATAATTACATATCCAAAGAAGGATAACTTTTCTATTGATTGTCCATCACAATTCAAACATTTAGTCTTTTTCCCTTTAAACAGAGAGTTCAGAACCATCAGACCAGAAATTTAAAGTGATTTTTTTTTCATGGGAAACTTAAAAGTGTAATCCTTTCTTCCAAGAAAACTAAACCTTACCAACTAAAAAGGAATAATTAGGACAATAAATTCAGAGACAACTAATTAAGCTCACCCATTGCGAAATCCATCCTGGTAAGATATAATTATCAGGCTTAAACAATGGACCTGGGTCACATTGAAGCCAACCAGTTGATAAATCCTGCAAGCATTACCCTCGCACACTAAGTTTTCGGGAAAGGAATCAGCATGCTTATTGAAGGGTCAAAGAAGAGGTTGAATCCAATAATTACCTTTCCTGGACAGGTTAGCCACTGGAAACGACCCAAGATATTTGCAAGCTGCATATGCAGAAACTCACTCCATCATGTTTATGATAAGTACTAGAATGAAAGCCTATACATCAAACAACAGGCACATAATTCAACTTTCCCAATTCCACCAAAGGCATGTGCTCCCGTTATTGAATCAAATTGAAAATATGAAAATAGCATATACACATAAATAAAAAGTGCTATTAATATTCTTGATTCAGCACAATTAATCAAAGCATTAGCATTAGATCTTTTGATTGCAGGTTCAGGATGAATTTTTCACATGAATGCCAAAGAGAACACGTTTGATAAATTATTCACAAATGATCTCTGGAAGGATGCCATCGGTGCATAGCTTAAATGTAATCTATTAAACTGGTCCAGGAATATAAAATGTCAACTATGAATCCTGAAGTTAGTACCACTGAAAAAGGAAGAAAAAGATATAAATAGAGAAAATGACAGGCCCCGTGATGTATTCAACTAGAAGGATCAGTCATGCTAAAATTGCTAGATCAGACATGCAATAAGTAAGAACAAACTGCCACTGCAATAATCTTTTCATACAGATCCTGATTAACCTGGCTTAAGATAAGTGATACCCTTATCACTAACAAGATGGAGAGAACTCCAATATGGAAATACTATGCTCACCACAAATGCAGAGATGATAGTTGTAACAGACGCTCCAATAAACCCCTCCCATGTTTTCTTAGGTGATAATTTGATTAAAGGGGTTCTTCCAAAGAAGAAACCAAAGATATAAGCAAAAATGTCATTGATAACAATAAGTGATGCTGGAATAAGAAACCTGGAAAAAAGAAAGTACTTTTGGTTCAGCGAGATGAAGAGTACAGAGAGAATACAGTCAATAGTATGAAAAGCATGCAATTAATGGTGTGAATCTTAAGAGGTAACAGTTTATAATTTTTTTATCAAGGGGTGGAGGAAGGGGTTTCCCAGGTTTGAACCTGAGACCTAGTGCCAACAAGGACTTCAGCAACACAAGTCATTTATCACTACATCAGTGGCTAGGTGATGGTAACAGCTTACGTGTTATTAATGAGATATTTTACCTTTTAGAACTGTTTATTTTCCTTTTTTATCCATGCACACATGTATGTGCACATCTGGTACACAGTGCACCTAGGTAGGTACAATTTAGTAAAGGGTGTCTGAGAAAGAAAAGTTACCAGAAAATTCCTTCAAAGATATTGGCCACAGTAAAGGATGACTGTGTGAATACCACAATCAGAATCATATGTGTCCATGCATACTGGCCAAATTGATACTTGTACATCTTCTTCTTCAATGTAAGAATAAACCACATAAAACCTAATCCCAAAAGCCAAATAATAACAATGAGGATATCAATAGTTATATGTAATAACAAGAAAACCATACAAGATATGAGAAAATAACATATTTACAGAAATTGAGAACATCTAGTCCCACTTTGGTCAAAATTAAAATTTAAGATATCAATAGATGAATTCTTGACATAATTCTTCCTCCATCCCTTCAGTCAAAAACATAAAACAATATGCTTAACAAAACCTGCAATGTACAAGAAGTAGCAGATAGCCATATGATACTTGACAAGGCTGCTAACAAACTGATACAAAAACTTGTCCGAAGTTACAGTATTGACAAGTGGTTGGCTAAGAAGGCGGCCATAAACAAAAAACATTGCAGTGAAGAAGAAGTGCCTGTTCCCATAAAATGAAGAACATTCTGATCAGATGAAAGCAAGTCAGATTTAAGAGTAATTTCTATGGCACAAAAATATTGGTCGCCATATGGAAGGTAAAGGTAGTAATCTAACCAATTTAACAGCCTAAATCCTGGAAGATGGCTATCTTCGTGAGCTTTCCTAAGTAAATTGAAAAGCTCTTTTGCCATAAATATTTGGATAACCACCACCATAGCTGTAATATAGAGATGACCCATGTAGACAATTAATGCAAAACCCCCAATCATCCAAACAGTAGAATGTGTTCGGATCCACATTGATTTGTATTTGTTACGGTCATCAGCAAGAAAATTTCCACCATTTGCTTTAGGCTCTGGAACAACCTGATAGAATGTTTGAATTTTATGAGGTTGAGGAAAAAATTTCCTTGGCTAGAAATGGAAAATGTCTTTTACAAATGACAATAGGAACCATGATCATAGACATGAAAAAGGAATCAATCAAAACATATTAGTATTTGAGTAACCAACCTCATTGGACCGTTTACGGTGCCGTACTCTAGCAGTAGCAGATGATGACACAGCTGTATTATTCTCCTTTTCCATGGCTCTTTACTCAAATGTCGATCGTCAAATGGAAAACCTCACATATATTTCTGGTGCAGGGTAAATTGCTGCGCTGCTACTAAATTACACTCTAAAAGAGAAGCAACTGGGACACACTGAAAGCAACGTGAACTTTTGTACTAAGCAACTTACTCGGAAGAGTAGTAGTAACAAAAAGATGAAATCTAGGCAACCATAATTGTGACAAAGTTTTCACAGAAGCTATAATCAGCTAGGTGCAGAAAACATGTAACAAGAAAGAAGCAGATAAAAATCTCTCAAATATTCATGCAGCAAAATATTCAGTCTTGATAGCCACTTCCAACCTTTTTTTTTCTTTGAAACATGTTAAATCTAGCGCCTTACATTCACAATGACCAACCATTAAACCACTAAATAGACATAACACGGTCAGAAAAGAAGTTGTTTTCTGTATTCTTTCCCTATCCAAATATTTAGGCTTTTTATTACCTCATAGAACCTCAAAATGAAGTCGTTCTCACTAGGTAGTTATTTATACCAATGGAAAAGACCAGTACCGACCAACACATTCTCACTGTAAGGAGCTACCCCGTTGCCACCCACCACCCACTCCCAAGGGGAAAAGTCCAAAAGCTAGAGAACAAAGAACCCCAAAAAAGTATTTTTCCTATACAAAAATACCAGTGGAATCAGATGATTAAGTATTTTTTTAGACAAATAGTGTTATTCCAACAAGATGAGAGAACCGGAGAAAGTGCAGGGTTGGTATACTTGACAAGACCACACCTTTATTCCTTCTTTTAGAAACTTTAAAGGTTCAAACTCTAATTAAAAATTAGGCATAAATCATGAAGTGAACTTTTGATGGAGGCCAAACAAGAGTTTCACAGATTTAAAGACAACCTAATCTATATAGCAATTATGTAAATAGAAATTATAAGTCAAGGATAAAAGGATTGCTAAACCAAGAAAGAAATTAACCGATTACAGTATACATATACTACTCCCATTACTCTTTTCATGTCCAAGATTTACGATTTAAAATTCCAGTTTCTACGAGCAACAGCAAGCTTTAAGAAATATAACTCTACTAAACTCTTATGCTAATTAAAAACAGAAACCTATAGAGATGAATCTAGTAACACAAACCCAGCAGAGTAAACCAACTAAACTTAAACATGACAGAGTAAATAACAACAATAATCACTCAAATCAAATCTGAAGCAGAAAAAAACCCCCTCAAATTCTTGAACCTAGGGGATCGAAAACCAGCGATCAATTTACAGCAGCAAACATTAAAGGAGTATGAGAGCAAGAGAGAGAGTTAGAAACCTTGGTTTAGCTTCCAGTTGCAGTAAAACTTGGAAACCCACCAAATGAGAGTAAGCGCACTCAAATCAAATCTGAAGCAGAAAAAAAACCCATCGAATTCTTGAACCTAGGGGATCGAAAACCAGCGATCAATTTACAGCAGCAAAAATTAAAGGAGTATGAGAGCAAGAGAGAGAGTTAGAAACCTTGGTTTAGCTTCCAGTTGCAGTAAAACTTGGAAACCCACCAAATGAGAGTAAGCGAAAGAGTGACGAAGAGAATAATAAAGTAACAAAAGGTTGAGGAGGCCAAGCGCAAATAGCGTAGTAAAATATATTTGAAAAATAAAACTTTCCTACTCGGAGGAAAATGCTACAAAAAAAAAAAACAGCTGTGTAAATTTTTTTGGATTGTTTCCTTTTTCCTGGAGAACAAAATATTTCTGGTCACATGTAGAAACAGGCTTGTGAAGAGTTTACATTTTCGTCCCTTCTATTTTTGTAAATTATTACTTAATCCCTTGTATATTTCTTATGTGTCCAATTACGGTTTTGGTCTCTTTCTTATACTCTAATTTGGAATTCAATTATTTCAATATCACTAGTTCAAATAATCTATCAAAAGGCTATTGCTTAGAGTTTGCCTTTTCATCCTTGGTCTAAAATTTTCTTATATAATTTATATCTCTATCAATTGATCAATTGTTTCTTATGTGTTTATCTTGTGACTGATTTTGATGTTCAATGACAATTTATGTCCCTCAAGGAAACAACTTTGACAGATGGTTGGCTGCCTGTTTACTTAATGGACAAACCAAAGCTAAAGCTAAAGGTTTGTATCTAAAAGATATATTGATTGACAAGCAGATCCACAAGCTCGCATGGAAAATGCTGGTACAATATTCTCTCCTTATTTCCCTAACCCTGATTTGTTTGATATAATCAGAGAGTAATCCCCTCCCCTGCCACTGCCTTTAGTTAACCATTCCTTTAATCAGTGGGGAATCAAATGCGACTTGCTGCTGCATTTTGAAGGTGTAACGTGAGAAATATAGAATGGACGAGCACATGAGAGAACCTGTATTCTTAATGAGGTCCAGCCTGCCTAAAGAGAGGATGTTGAATGAGTTTTGGTCCCATTCCAATCTGATAATTATGCTAAGCAGTAACCATAATTGGAACAAGTAGAAGCTTCTTTAAGAGTTAAAACCCATTGCAGCACTATTGCCATTGCATCAATTTTCAAAGGTTAGTCACTGTGGGGCTTCATCTTTTTCAAATATTCAATGTATGATTTTGTCCTCCCATGATTGTGTCAACTCTACTCGGATAAATGACATCAATAACTGCAAAATTATGAAAGGTTTTTTGTATACTTCCGCCGTTCGAAGTAAATGAAGAAAAACTGGGCTGCGGATGACGGTAGCGTTGTGCTAGAGTTTAAGAGGTGGGGTTGCAGTAGCTAATAGGCGGGCGGATCTTCCAACGATGTGTAAACAATGCTAAAAGGGGACCATTTACATCATCTATGGGTAGTGAACTCCAAGGGAAATGGTGATTTGCTTTATGAAGGAACATGGAAAAGGACAAAGTCGGGCATGACAAAGGAAGTTGCACGGTTCAAAACGCTATCAATACGAATGGCGAATCAAATTTGGCATGGAACCATGCATGAATTGACGAGGCACAGTTCGATTTCACTCCAAACATCTTTCATTCAATATAGGTAGCGTGGGTGGAACTTTCTGGGCCTTGGACGTGTCCATACTCACGTAACGACAAGTGGGAAGGTATGGGCGCATAATTGGTTAATGACGATTCCTTCTTTTATATTTTTCGGTTCTTTTGACCGATGCTTTCAAGGAAAGCTCAAGTTTCTACATGCTTTCAATTACATTACAATTAGGATGGGCATGGGACTCGATTCGATTGAGTCGTTTTTTTTAAATTTGGATTCGTATCGGATTGTGTTTTTAAATGTGATGTTTGAATTCAGTCACTGTTTTTATTGAATAAAAATAATATTTATTTTATTATTTCGGGTCGTCGAATCAGATTATTACATTTTATATCAGGTCGGGATCGGGTGGACAAAAAATTTGATCTAACCTGACCCATGATCATCCCTAATTACAATCCCTAAGGACGGAGTACTTAGTTACTAGAAAATATTAGAATGGATTCTGCCCAAAAGATATTGGGTAAAGGTTTTACGTGTTTAGTATCGTTTATAAATATAAATATTTGGGCCTAAAAATATCACTATAAATATTTAATTTACTAGTCAATTAATTATTATAAAAATAATATTTTAATTTAAATTATTTTATCTATAATATCAAATTTTAAATTTTTTAAAAATATTTAAAAATTTAAGATTTATTCAACTGGATCAACTATTATTGTATATATATATTTCTAAAAATATAGTTAGTGTCTTAATATCATCACGTTTACATTTAAATTTAAGAAGGATTTTAGGGAAATAAAGAGGAATGCTTTAGTAAATCTAAAACTCATGAATTAAGAAAAATTTAAAATCGAGTTGATGAGTTCAAAAAATAAAATTAAAAGTTCACTATGTTATAGTATAAATTAATGCATCCGTTGTCGACGGTGGATGGAAGGAGATTGGCAAGTAAAACTGTCAAGAATTTATAGGCTCACATAAGCTGATACAAAGCTATTAATGCACTGCTCAAACAAGGTGCACTTATATTTTAATATTTCTCTCCATATATCAACAATTAATTCACGAATTTCATCCCAAATGATCAATAAGCAATTGAAATATACGAAAAATACATTGATATAACACATTCCCTTACTAGAATGGTAGTTGTTAATAGTAGTTCACGCTATGGAGCTGACAGGATGAGCCATGCAACGCCCACTCCTAAGGGTGTGTTTGGTTGGGGGAATGTGAGATTATCATAAGAATATAATCATTTAGTTGACCGAAAATGTCATTCCGGTAATCTTATATTACCAATAGTAGATTTTTTTAGGTATATTATTGGGAATGTCACTACCTCACTTTCTTTAGGTATTGTTGAATTACCGGCGTTTTGACTAAAATACCCTTAAAAAAAATTCTTTCAAAAGTACTATTATTCTGTCATTGAATAATAAAAATTCTACGAATGTTAAATTACAAATTTATCCTTAAACTATTTTATATTTAAAAAAAAAGCTATAATTAAAATTTTATATGAAGTTCAGGGATTAAAATTAAATTTTATCATTTTATTAAACCTTTTTATATTTTTAATTTTGTAAAAAAATTATATAAATTTTATGAATTTAAAATTTTTTAAAGAAATATATAAATATTTTCTAACTTGTTAAAAAATAAATATATAATAAGGATAATTTGGTCAAATACATTCTAATAATCTTTTATTCCTTTAACCGAATACGGTAATCTTATATTCTAGTAAACTAACCAAACACAAGATACAACATTCACAGTAATTATATTCACTAATAATTTTACATTCCAGAACACATACTAAATAATTTGATACTCAAAATGGCAAAAGCTTTGGCATTTGAAGTTGAAGGGGACCTTTTATTTTTGGGCTCACACCAACCGTTCCCGCCTCTTACTCTATTGGTTTTCGTGCAGGAAGTTGCCTGGGATGCCTTCCCCCACTGCTAAAAAGAAGCGCTTAACAATCACTTCACCTCATCCGCCTCTCTTTTCACTTTTTCTTCAAAGAAGCAATAACACAGCTTCTTTTTCTCTTTTCACTGCTCTCAAAGAAGCGACAATGGCTATTATGAAGATGGTAATGGCTGTGGTTGTCATGGCAGCAACCCTCGGAAGCAAAATGGCTGGAGCACAAGTGCACCATGTAGTCGGAGGTGACCGAGGGTGGGACCCTTCCTCTGACGTGGCATCTTGGTCCTGTGGTAGGAGCTTCAGTGTTGGAGACAAAATCTGTAAGCTTTTGCTTTATACTTCCTTTCTAATTACCTTAGCATTAAAACGCTGACGAGCTCCGTTCAACTTTGATAATAGATTGGTTATTAGCCGGCTTATGGGTGTTTGAAAAAAGTCAAACCTTTGTACTTGCATAAACAATATTATACACATGCTTTCGTGATGAAAACCAGTCGTGTTATAATTTTTCTTATTTTCGTTCCTTTTTCTATATTTGTTTATGGTTAAATTGAAGAAGAAAAAATATGTCGGCTTTTTACTGCTGCGCAGGGTTTGCCTACTCTGCAGCAGAGGAGAGCATTGCCGAGCTGAATAGCGAGCAAGAATATGAGTCGTGCGATGTTAGCAACCCCATAAGAATGTACACGGACGGCTTAGATGGCATCCCGTTGAATGGGGAAGGGAATCGCTATTTCGTAAGCAGCAAGCCTGAAAATTGCAAGAACGGTCTAAAGCTACAGGTGGAGGTGGGGCCTTTAGGGAACTCCGAGTCCGAAATACCCAAAGTCGCAGTGGCTGCCGCACCACCCACGACCCCTTCTGGATCATTCCGGCCTCATGGGGAGCTCCGTGTTGTTGTTGGTCGGGCTGTCGCTTTGCATTTGCTATATGGGTATTTAGTTGTTACGAGTTATTTATGATTCTCCTTTAATTAGGCTAGTGTTTATTATATGCAAATCTAATTTAGTTTTCAAAATTATGTATTTAATATCTTTGCGACATGACCCTTTAAAACTTAAAGAACATCAAAATATAAATTTTAATTTTTCACAATCGAATCTTTGTTTTTGGAACTTAAAGAACATATTCTGATCGACCGAGGAAGAAAGTTTACCTTCTGGCTCGTTTTTGGAACTAGGTTTGGTTTAAATTTCACGCTTATCATTAAATTCATGGTGGTAGACTAGATTATATGCGATTTTTAGCTCATTAAAAAGCTATTTTCTTCATTGCTTTGGGTTTCTTACATCTTTCCTGGCTATGAAGGGTGACTTGAAGTTGGTCAAACTGTGCGCTTGACCATTGATCATGAGTTCGTTTGACGAACTAGAATTCCACATTTTGTTCAAACAAGGGTTCACAGTGATAAGTAGAAGCGGACAGCTGAGTGCCAAATGTTTGAGAAAACAATACCAGATAAAACTCTTGACGTCCCGGTCCTGGTTCAGAACTTGTGCAGAAGGCGGCATCCACTGCCTACACACAGGTTGTAATCCACGTAATAGAATTGTCTGCACGTCTGTATATGCACCCGTGCGTGCCTGCTTTGTCTGGTTATCTGTCGGCTTTCACGTTCAAGTTTGCTTGTAATGGCTTTATTACTGATAACTAGGTTGATAATCTGTGTTAACCTGACTTCTCGTTATTTTTTCTTCT